ATGGAGCTGCACACCTGGTTCTTGAGCCTGTCAAGAATCCTATCTTGAAAAATCCATCACAAAAAAGTGCTGGTGGAGTGGCTCAACTATTTGCCCTGGCTGGCCTCAAGCCGCAGTCATCCCAATCTCAGCCTCCCGATTAGCTGGGATTATAGGTGTGAGCCATAGGCTCCTAGCTTAATGTTAATGTCTTGTGTAACAGGACAGTATCATAAAGAGACAGTGGTCCATAGAGATTATCAGGTTTTACCAGTTTTGTGTATACTCGTTTATTTATTTATTTTTTTGGTACTGGGACTTGAACTCAGGACCACTCCACCAGCCCTATTTTTGTGAAGTGTTTTTTGAAATAGGGTCTCATGAACTATTTGCCTGGGCTGGCTTCCAACTGCAATTCTCCTGATCTCTGCCCCCTGAGTAGCTAGTATTACAGGCATGAGCCACCAGCGCCCAGCTTCATTTATTATTTTTGTGTATGTGTGTACTTGCCTTTTAAAATTATATTAAGTTTTATTGAGATGCAACTCACATATCATAAAATTCATTTTTTTTTTTTTGGTGGTACTGTGGTTTAAACAAAGGACCTCAGGGTTGCTAGGCAAATGCTCTACCATTTGAGCTACTCTGCCAGCCCAAAATTCACTATTTTAAAGTTCACAGTTTAGTGGTTTATAGTTTGTCTGCACAGTTGTAAAACTAATTTTAGAAAAAGAAACCCTGTATTAATTACCAGTTAGGTCTTATTTCCTCATCTTCCCAGCCTCTGGCTACCATGATCGCTTTTTTGTCTCTATGGTTTTGCCTATTATGGACAATTTATAGAGATAGAATCGTAGTTACTTGGGAGGCTAAGATAGGAAGGATTGTGGTTTGAGGCCAGCCTCAAATAGATTTTGATACCCCCAACTCCAAAATAACCAGAGCAAAATGGAAGTGTGGCTCAAGTGGTAGAGCACCTGCCTAACAAGTGTGAGGCCCTGAGTTTAAACCCCTGTTCAACCCCTCACAAAAAAAGTGGGGAAGGATGGGTCTTTGGTGGACAGTTAGTAAAGTTACCACACTTTTATCTGTGGAGGGACAATTGTCCTGGCTGTGTGTGTGGGCCTTTGGTGAGTCTGCTCCTGCCATATGCTCTGCCTTGGCTCAGGCAGGGGTCAGGCCTTGCCCCTGCTGATTCAAGCTTCCCTCCAGTCCCTGGCAGAGCGACTGAATCTCTGCCATGATGCCATCACAGCAAGTCCCAGCACAGGTGCACAAAGCTCTTAGTCAGCCATGTATGTCACCAAGTGTCAGGGGAGGTCCAGGAGCACAGACCTGTGCTTCCTCATGCCCAGCCTGAGGCATCATTTTAACAATGTCTGGGGCCACACTTGCCTGAAGATTTTCTTCTAGACTCTCAGATGTGAAGGAGGACACAGGTGCCCTTCCCTGTCCCAGATCTCCACCTGGGAATCTACCCTCCTCTTTTTTTTTTTTTTCTGGTGGCACTGGTGGTTGAACTCAGGGCCTCACACTTGCTAGACAGGTAGACAGGCACTCTTACTGTTTGAACCACCCAGCTAGCCTTTTTTTTTTTTTTAATTTTTATTTTTTTCAAGATATGAACTATTGATCTCTGCTTGATTAGTTAGGATTACAGGTGTGAGCCTGGCACCCAGCTGCTCTCCTCACCTCTGTCCCTCTTCTTCCTCTGTCTCTATTAACTCCCAGTCCTGAACAACTCTTCGCAGGCATTTCTTCTACATCATATCTTCCTTCTTCTCATCCCATGCCTTCTGGCTAAGACTTAAAGTCAGATAGGAGTTTCTTCCACAGCAGAAACTCTATGATCTTATAGACCCTTGCCTATGAAAAATGGGAGATGGAGATTTCACAGATCTTTTCTCACTTGATAAAAGTTTTATTTTGGGGTGGTGGCTCACAACTGTAGTCCTAGCTACTCAGAAGGCAGAGATCAGGAGAACAGAGGTTCAAAGCCAGCCCAGGCAAACAGTTCATAAGACCTATCTTCAAAACACCCAATAAAAAAAGGGCTAGTGGAGTGGCTCAAAGTGTAGGCCATGAGTTCAAACCCCAGCACCACACACAGAAAAAAAAAAAAAAGAAAAAAAAACCTTCACAAAAAAAGGGCTGGTGAAGTTGCTCAATGTGTAGGCCCTGAGTTCAAGCCCCAGTACCACAAAAAAATAAAAAATTCCTATTTTGAATTTAATTTGAATATTATGTCATTTTTCTTTGTTCTGCCTGGATGACAACCCTGCCTCCCTTTGTCTCCTGCCTCTCAGTCAAGACAAATGCATGGTTTGGGCTGTCTAGAGTCACGTTCAGGAAAGACGAGAAAAGAAAAGCACATTAGATTTCGGTTAAAATTAGGGCTGGAGTGCCTCAAGTGACAGAGCGCCTTCCTAACAAGTGTGAGGCCCTGAGTTCAAACCCCAGTACTGCCAAAAAAAAATGGTTAAAATTAAAAGTACTAGCAGGTGCAGCAGTACCACCTGTGGCCCCAGATACTTGGAAGGCTGAAGTGGGAGGATCCTTACTTGAGCCCAGAAGTTCAAGACCAGCGTGGGCAACACATAGCAAGTCCTCATCTCAAAAAAAAATTATTAAACATCTGTCTGTCATCTCTCTCTTATTTTTAAACATAGCATATTATGCACACTGTTTTGTACCTTGCTTTTTTTGTTTCATATATTTCCTTTCTTTCACTCTCTTTTTGGTGGTACTGGGGGTTGAACTCAGGGCCTTGGGAAAGCACTCAACCACTTAAGCCATGCCTCCAGCCCTTTTTGCTTTTTAGTTCTTTTTCAGATAGGGTCCTCAATCCTCCTACCTATGCCTCATTCATAACTGTGATATATATGTTGCAGTGATAGGGACTGAACCAAGTCCTCATGCATGGTAGGCAAGTGTTCTATGATTGAGCTATACCTCCAGCTTCCAAACCACTAATTTTTACTTTTAGTTTTTCTGGTAACTTCTGTTTTCCTGCAAATATACTTTTGTTGTTATCTATGTACCAACTGACTGACTTTCTGTTATGACTAAGGCCCAACTACCTCTCCCTACATATCTACCACTATGTTAGTTATCCCTATGGGTTAATTAATCATATGGTTAGAGACAGGGGTGTAGTTCAGTGGGAGAACACTTACCTTACCATTCATAAGGCCCTGGGACCACCCCTGGCACTGCAGTAATAATAATAATAATAATAATAATAATAATGATAATAATAAAGGTAACTTTGGCTGGGCACTGGTGGCTCACACCTGTAATCCTAGTACTCAGAAGGCTGAGATCAGGAAGATCACGGTTCCAAGCCAGTCAGGGCAAATAGTTCTCAAGACCCTATTTTGAAAATACCTTACATAAAACAGGCCTGGTGAAGTGGCTCAAGTGTTAGTGTGAGGCCCTGAGTTCAAACCCCAAGAAACCAAGAAAAAAAATGTATATATGTTTAACCCTTTATATTTTGTTTCAGACGAGTTTGGGTGCGTTCAGGGTGGTGTGGCCATAGACTATATTTTGTCTCAGAGAAAAACAAAGTAGGGATTTTTCAGGGGCTCTTTTTTTTCTTTTTTAAAAGAAAACATTTTTGTCTATCATGTAGGTACTTCCCCTTGTCTGGTTTTTTTTTTTTTTTAATTTTTAGTTATTTATATATTTTTTTGTTGGTCCTGGGTTTGAACTCAGGGTTTCAAGCTTGCAGGCGCTTTACTATTTGAACCATGCCCCAGCCCTCCTTCCACCTTCTGAAGTCTGCTCAGTTGATCTGTTCTCATACCGTATAAAAGTATGTATTTACAATAGCACAGTGGATCAATGGAAAAAACGGAGTGGGAGCACTTAACTTTCTAGTACAATGGAACAACTCACTTTAGTTCTAACCCTGGCAGTGCTGTGGGACTAAGTTGTCACTGCCCAGGTGACTGTGATTCTCCCTTGGTCAGTCAAAATACTGGCGGAGGCACTAGAAACTCAATAGCCCAGATAAATAACATCATCATGCATTTTTTTTAAAAAATAGAAATGCCAATTAATCCATGAGAAACAGAACAGCAATATTCTTGTTTTGTTTTGAGTACTGGTGTTTGAATTCAGGGTCTACACCTTGAGCCACTCCACGAGCCCTTTTTTGTGATTTTTTTTTTTCCTGATAGGGTCTCTTGAACTATTTTGCGCCAGCTGGCTTTGAACCATGATCCTTCTGATGTCTGCTTCCTGAGTAGCTAAGTAGCTAGGATTACAGGTGTGAGCCCCCACCCCACATCGATCAGCAATGTTCTTAATAAGGTAGGCTCAGTAGAATGAGTAGAGAAGAACAGCCATGTTTATAGTTGCCATTAGCAGTGATCTTTGTATCATGGCATCTTTAACTGCTGATTAAGAGGTGAATAAGATTCAAATCAGAAGTGAGGCATGCCTTTTATATCAGGAATATGAATACTGGCTTCCAGGGGTACTCACACCACCTGACCTTGCAAGTTGTACGTGGCAAGGTTGAGTTAGATATTAGAATTGTGTGTGTGTGTGTGTGAGATTTAAGACTTGCATGGAGGGGTCTGCAGATATATTTACTTTGTTCGAAACTTCGTGCATTTCCAGTGGCTTCCCTCCCCTTGTTCTCTGCACGCCTGTTCCTTTTTGAATAAAGGTCATCCCGGGAGGTCAGCTTCCTGATTATTCTCTTCTACCGGGGAGGAGAAGGAAGCCTGGGGCCCCTTATCCACTATGGTGCCCTTTAACAAAATCCTGGGCTTCCCTGACAGCTGCAAATTTCTGCCTGGAGTCTCAAAACGTCTGGGGTTGCCATGGTCCTTGGGACTGCAATGCTGGCCACCCTCTGCTAGTGCAGCCCCAGCAGGCTGCTGCACAGCGTCCCCTCTGGTCCCTTTGAAAAGGTTTATAAAGGAGATCTGCGGGGGGAGGAGCGAGGACGGGACATTAACCTGGGCTTCTGTCCAAGCGACTGGGGCGAATAAAAGAGGCTTTTTCTCAAACTCACGGAGCTAGCCCTGGGCACGTTTCTAAGGATTTTTTTTTTTTTTTAACCTTCGGTGTTTTCCCAGAGAGCAGATTTGCTTCTTCCCAAGCTTAACATGGAGTGAGCAGATCTTTCCAGCCTGTTTCAAAGGATTTGTCTCCCGGGGTCTGGCGGGGAGGGGAGGCAAAGAAAGAAATGAGTCAGAACCGGGCGCCGGTGGTTCACGCCTGGACTCCTAGATATCCTAGCTACTTAAGAGGCTGAGATCAGGAGGATCACAGTTCGAGGCCAGCCCCAGGCAAAACAGTTCAGGCGTTTTCCGCCCCCACCCCAATCTCCAAAATAACCAGAGCAAAATGGACCGGAGGTGCGGCTCCAGCAGTACAGCGCCCGCTTTGCAAGAGCCAAGCCCTGAGTTCAAACCCCAGTCCCACCATTATTCAGAAAGGGAGCGCTCCCCGGTGATTTGCAAATTCTGGGAACACTTTGTAGAAAAGCGAGAACTAACCGAAATGAGGGGTGCAGGCATTTCGCACCTTGCTAGGGAGGAGCTTGGGAAGCTGGACTCGTCACCTACCCCGGGGTCGCTGTGGGGGGCGTAGACAAAAGGGCGGCGGCGGTGGCGGCGGCGGGCGCGGGGCGGAGCCGTGCGGCGTCTTCTCCTGGCCCCGCGGCGGCGGCGGCGGCGGCGCGTCACGCTCTTCCCCGCCCCGAGCCGACGCGCCGGGAGGCGGCGGCCCTGGTGGCTGCTGCTGCTGCTGCTGCTGCAGTGGGGCAGGTGGCGGTGGCTGACAGACGGCGGCGTCCGAGGCGGTGAGCGGCGTGGCGGGCCTGGCCCCTTCCTCACCCTCCGCCCTTCCCGCTCCCGCGGCCGCTCGAGCGCCCCGAGCCTCGCGCGCCGGCCCGAGCCCTCTGCAGCGGACCCGGAACCCGCGGTGGCCGACGCTGAGGCCAGGGTCCCCGAGGTGAGCCGGACGGGTGGCCGGCTCTGTCAGCGTCTGGTCCGGGCCTTTCCTCTTCCTCCTCCCGCCTCAAGATGGAGCGTGGTCTCCTGGCCCCTTGCGCCGCCCCGGGCGCCGCGTCCTGGCCCCCCCCACCCCGCCCCCGGTCCTCGGCCTTGCGTTTAGGGGTGGGGGTGGGGGTAAAGGCTGGAGAGTTCGGGAAGGATTTAGGGGTGGCTGAGGCTCCCCCCGAAGGCCATGTCCCGGCCGGACCTGTTGCCTGGGGCGCCGCCACCTGAGCCTTCCTTCAGGCCCCGGGTGCCCGTGGCCGCGCTCGAGCCGGAATGGAGGGCGCCACGCCGGTGTCACCCCGACCCGGCCCGGCCCGGCCCAACCCCAGCTGTTGTTTTCCTCCTGAGCGGGTCGTGATTCTTGGGGGGAAGGTGGCAGCGAAATCACCGCTGCCCCGTAACCCGAGCCTTCTCCCGCGGCTCGGAAGACAGATGACACTTGTTCAGGGATGATTTTCAAAGCAGAGCCGTCCGGCCCCCTCCCCCTCCGTCCCCCTCCCCGAATTTGGAAATCTGATTTTGGTTCTCGGGGGGTCAGCCCCAGATCCGGCTCTTCCCCCCACCTCCCACTTCATGTGGCTTCTCCATCTGCCCTCCCCTCGCAGCCCCACCTCTTGGGTATGGAGAAATGACACGTTTCGTCCGCGATCCGAGCTCATACCTGGTTTTAGCACAGAACTTGGGCGCCAAGGACTGTTTTTTAAAAAGGAAGGTGGAGAAGATTCTGTATTTTTTTTTTTTCTTTGTGTGTGTGTGTGTGATTCAGCAGCCCGGCCTTCTTCCTCTTTCAGGTTAAGACCGTGTCTGGCCCATTTGGAGCTCTGTAAGTATCTGTGCTGTGCCTGCTGCTGCTTTTATGGTTATTATTCTGGGATTTTATTATTGCTACTGTGACCAATAGGGGCTCTGAGTCAGGAGAGTGGTGTGTTTGACTTCTGGTTTTAATGATGACCTTTTGCAAGAATTTGTAGGTATGTTGTGCCCTCAGCTTTGAGGCATTTTTTTCTTCCCCCTCTGGGAATAATAACAATTAACGTTTATTGAGGGCTTCCTGGGGCTAGGCTCAGGGCAGGTGTTGTATGTGTTTTATCTCATTTATCAACCCAGCCCAATGACAGTGCTGTCATTATTCCCATTTTACAGAGAGGGCATAGAAAGGTCAAGTAACTTTAGAGTCCCGCAGCTAATAAGTGATGTTGGTAGAATTGGTACCCAGGTCTTCTGATGCTAGGTGTTCAGTGATTTTGTTAGTATGGTGAATTTCTGGCAAAAAGAAAGGCTGGCTTTTACTAAAACAAAGGAAGTGAGGGCTTGGTCAAGGGCTTATGCTCAGTTTTTGAGGTTCAGAGAAAGGGGTTAAGCACATCTTAGGCTTCCTAGTAGGCTTAGTGTAGAGGGGTGAAAACTAAAGCTGAAACTGGGTGTGAGGCTGCATAGGTGTCTGTGAGGATCAGGATTATGTCCTTCTGTACTCTTGCAGTCATCTCATGAGCTCACCGTGAGCCCCCTGGTTCCTGTGTTACCAACTTTAGTGTTTGATTGATGCTTATCTTATTTACCTTTTTGTTTTGGTGGTACTGGGATTTGAACTCAGGAACTCAGTGCTTGTTGGGCAGGTGCTTTACCACTTGAGCCATTCTGCCAGCCCTTTCCTTGTTAATTTTAACCATTATGTATCACTGAGTTTGTCATATAGAAGGATGACCCATAATGTATGTGGGTCTTGGTTTTGCTCTTGCTTTTTTTTTTTTTTTATGGCCTTGCACATGCCAGGCGGGTGCTCTGCCACTGAGCTACATCTCCAACTCAGCAACTCAGCTCTTGTTTTCTAACTGCTGTTTGTTGGGTTTGGAATCCCGATGGAATGGATGGTATATAAGAGATGAATTGGTTCTCTTGTATTCCATGCAAATGAATTTGTCACATTATTGGCCACCTGGTATTCTTCATTATTATTTATAAATGAATTTCTGGTTTCCTTAGAATATATATATCAAGGGCAGGGAGAATTTCTGCAGAGTTCCATGTGCTTAGTAAATGCTTTTAATTTTGTTAATTGAAAATAAGAGGGTTGGGAGTGTGGCTCAGGTTTTTGAGTGCCTGCCTAGCAGTCACAAGGCTGAGGGTTCAAACCCAAGCATCACACACACAAAAAAAGAAAATATGAGGGCCATAAATTTCAAAACTTGTCTTATAGAAGTCAGAGCTAAAGAAAAAAACAGAATGTAGTGTAATAAAGACAGGAGGCTATTTGTTAACATTAAAAATAATACAAGCCGGGCACTAGTGGCTCACACCTGTAATCTTAGCTACTCAGAAGGCAGAGATCTGGAGGATCGTGGTTCAAAGCCAGCCTGGGCAAATAGTTTATGAGTAAAAAATTCATTACAAAAAGGGCTGATGGGGCTGGAATGTAGCTCAGTGGTAGAGTGCTTGCCTGGCATGCTCGAGGCCCTGGGTTCAATCCCAGCACCAAAAAAGAAAAGACCAAAAAAAAAAAAAGTGCTGGTGGAGTAGCTAAGATGTAGGCCCTGAGTTCAAACCCCAGTACTGCAAAATAAGTAAATACAAACAAACATACAAACAACTTTGTCAGCCAGTTGTGGTGGTGCATGCCTGTAGTCCCAGCACTTGGGAGGCTGAGGCAGGAGCGAATCACTTGAGCCCAGAAAGGTCGAGCCCAGTGTAGGCAATGTATCAAGACCCCATCTCAAAAAAAACGAAAACAAAACCAAAAAAACTCCAAAAACCCTTTGTCTAAATAGTGTTAACTAAAGTGAGACTTTTCACCTCATAGCTTTCTACTATCCTGATAATCAATAGTCTTTCCTGTCTTCCTTGTACAAATGAGGTAAGAGAGAAAGTGTGTCTCTCAGATGTGAAGAGTAGAAGTGACAGTGTTTATTGGTTATGGCAAGCAGTATTATCTAAGTGTTGTGATTTCCCCCCAAAATCAGCTTGGGGGAGGTGATGTACCTGCTGGTGGGGTAGAGGGGCTATAATGAGATCTACTCAGTGATTCATCACATAGCAATTTATTTATTTTTTTATTGGGTAGAATTGGGGTTTGAACTCAGGGCCTCATGCTTGGTAGGCAGGTGCTCAACCACTTGAGTCACTCAACTTGGGATCATCCCACCTCCGCCTCTGAAATAGCTGTGATTATAGGCATGCAGCATCATGCCTGGCTTTATACCATGTTATTAACAACTGTGTTGCAGGTAGGGTTACAGGGGAGCTGAGGCTCAAAGATTTCACCATCTTGCCTAAAAGACCACACAGCTAGTGAATACAGAACTAGACATTGAACCCCGGTTTATGTTATTTTAAACAGTGCAAAGAATACCTTCACCACAGGACCTCAAGTAAGTACTTGATGTTCATTCAGACTTGCTATTGAGCAGATAATGTCCTCCCTACACAGGGAGGCCTGTAATGATAGTAGCACATATATGTGCTCCTGGCAGCAAAGCCCTCCACTTCAGTCTGAAAATTTGTTTCATGGTTCAAACTAAACCTTTACAAAAGTCTTTTTGGTTTTAACTAGGAAGCAGTATTACTGTGGATATGCATTTTTTAGATAGCTATTTAGGGAGACTTTAAGCTATTACAGTATCTTATATATTTTTAATGTACATATTGTATGTTTCCCATATAGGTGGAACTCAAAAGAATCCATATGCTTTAAATCAGCATTTGAGTTACAGTGCGCTTTTAAGGGAAAACATATTGACTGATGGTACTATACAAGAATTTTAGGAAAGAATGACCTCTTCAGGTTTCAATCAGGAGAACAGAGAGAGGCCTTTTTTTTTTTTTTTTTTGCTAGGTTGGCAGACTGTACTTAACCAACCTTGAATTTGGCTAGGACATCTGGGTTAATATTCTGGTCCTGGCATGAAGTACCAAGGAATCTTGGCCATAAGTAGTAAAGAGCTTTTTTTTTTTTTTTTAAACCTCCATCTGGCACTTCTAGAAGGACAGATTCCATTAGCACTAACTCAATGGGTGGGTCTGTCTTTTAATTGTCTGTTTATGTGGTCCAGCGACAACATCTTAAAAGTATTCTATGCAAAATCCTTGAAAAGAGGAAGTAGTCCTATTACAGAATCCCTTTTGGGAATCCTGTCCCTGGGGAAATAGATATTTTCCTCTGTCTTTTCTCAGGAATCTTTGTGGGACTCAGATAGACATTGTGCTGTCCTAATGTTTTATCTAAGAAAAAGGTCTGAATGCTTCCAACTTGAATTAAGTGGATTGATTTTGTAGTCTCCTTTGTTTACTTATATCTGAGTATAGCTTGGATTAGAACTGCTTAACCCTGCTTTTTTTTTTGGCAGCACTGGGGCTTAAACTCAGGGCCTCATGCTTGGTAGGCATGTGGTCTTACCACTTGAGCCACTTCACCAGCTCTTTTTTTCTTTATTCTTTTTTAAGGCAGGGTCTTGCTATAATAGCCTCAGTTGGTCTTGGACTTGCTCTGTAGCTTCCAGACTGGCCTTGAACTCACAATCCTCTGACCTAAGCTGAGTGCTGTGATTATAGGCTTATCACATCCATGTCTATCTTCTTTTTATTTTTTAAGTCTTATGTCTGAGCTGGATGCTGGCAGCTCACACTTGTAATCCTAGCTACTTGGGAGACTGAGATCAGGAGGATCATGGTTCGAGGCCAGCCCAGACAAATAGTTCAGGAGATCCTGTCTCTAAAATAGCTAGACCAAAATGGACTTGGAGGTGTGGCTCAAGTGGTAGAGCACCTGTTTTGCAAGTGTGAAGCCCTGAGTCCAAATTCCAGTTGTACCAAAAAAAAAAAAAAATAGTCTTTATGTCTGGATCTGTAGTCATACTTATTTTTGAGGTGCTCAAAAATATGACCTATACCCCCAGCCTGTATTTCTATTGTTATTATTGTTGATTAATTTTTTTTTCTTGGTACTATGGTTTGAACTCCAGGCCTCGTGCTTGCTAGGCAGATACTCTACCACTTTAGCTGCACCCCTAACCATTTTTGCTTTACTTATTTTTCAAATAGGGTATCTCGTTTATGCCTGATCTGGCCTAGACTACAATCCTCCTGTTTACACCTCCCCTATAACTGGGATGATGGGTATGCACCACCACTCCTAGCTTATTGAGATGGAGTCTTGTTAACTTTCTGCCCATCCTTGCCTTGAGTTGGGATTCTCCTGATCTCTGCCTTCCCAGTAGGACCTGTATTTATATTTTTAAATAATCAAAAATAAATATTTTCACTGACAGCATTCTTAGCAAACCAGCATGGAGAGTCAGAATTACTAAGAACTTTGAGGTTCTGGATTTGCTGTAGCTCTATCTCTGTGGTTTGTGAACTTGAGCAGTTGTTTAACTTCTCTTTGGCTGCTTCTTGCTGTATAAGGTGGGGTAACACTTGCCCTGTGGGTCTCTACTGATGAAAGAGGGCTGTGGATGAGTTGGCCTTGACAAACTGGAGGTCTTTAGGTTATTTTGTGAGTTAGTGTGAGTACTGTAAAGGGATCCTCAGTGCTTTCAGACACCAGAGAGGCTGGGGTAGAGGAAGATGGAGGAACACTATCCTGTCTCACTGGT